CTTTAGTTCTCCTTCAAGGCGATGTCATAGTTTTTTTGTTCCAACTTTGATGTTGTAGTTGAGTTATCTCAGTAGTTGTCTATGTCTGTCTTCCTGGACTAGATTATGGGACTAAGAACTCGTTTAGCTATTTTTTGTCAGAAGCATCATGGAGGTGTAGAGAAAAGGGTTCTGACTCACTTATCTGTTGCCTTTTGATGAATAATCTCAATGCCTGTAATTTTTTAATGACTGGTACTCATTATTTGCAGGATAAATGGCGTCCTCTGCACACTCTAGCTGCATGTGGAGAATTTTATCTTTTACATTCATTGATGAAACATAATGTTGATATTGATTCTGTGGATAAGGTCTATTAATTATAACTTTTCTTACTTCAGACTAGAATGTGTGGACTCCTCTATTTAAACTGTGGTGATTTACTTTGTTTCCAGGATGGTTTGACTGCACTTCACAAAGCAATAATTGGAAAAAAGCAGGCCATAATCAACTATCTGCTGATAAATTCAGCTAATCCATTTGTAAAGGATAAAGTGGGTAAAAAATACTTAATTGTTAGGTTGTACTATTATATTTGTGTATGTGAGCCTTTACTTCAGTAAGGTTAATTTTGGTACTCCTATAATATCATGAATGCTCATGATAACAACGATAATTTTCTAAGGGGTAGCATTGATCATGTATTAAAGCAGGACTGTATCTTAATAATACAACATATTGTTTGTTGTCATAATCTTATTTACCTGTATCTGATATTTTGTGCATCTATTTTGTTGTTTATGTGTTGGAAACAGGATAGGGCCACCTTGATGCACTATGCAGTACAAACAGCTTCTAGCCAGACAATTAAAATACTTTTACTGTATAACGTGGATATAAATCGTCCCGACAATGTATGGTTTAGTTTTCTCCTATTTACCTTCTCTACCTCTTGTATCTTTGCGGTGAGCCGTTTGAAGAACATAATTGATTTTGTGTAACTTAGGATGGCTGGACACCGTTACATCTTGCAGTTCAAACTCAGAGAACAGATTTAGTGAGGCTTCTGCTCATTAAAGGTGCTGATAAGGCATTAAAAAACAAGGTATTTGTCTATTGATTTTTCCTATTTCGGTCTTTCAATGTGAAAGAAACATGGTGTTGTGTATAATGTTGCCTGAATATAGACCCTTAAAGTTTGGCATTGGTACTATTAGATAATCTGAATCTGCAACAAACTAATGACTAACCCATGTGATAGGCAGTGTTATGAAAGGCTATTGTGACATATCCAAGGCCCGATTCTAAATTTTGAAAGTGATATACTCACATGAGATTTCCCTTAAGACCATAGAAACATTTCCAAAGTCATAAGGATTTAGTAGTCGCTGAATTATTGCTTTACGACGAGGAGAATTGTGTTAGATAATAACAAGCTGATGTAATTTTGTTCATTCTTTTATAACATGGATTAATGGTTGTATTAAAATTTTGATAGCGCACAATACAATGCCCAACCTCACATGTTAGGATAAATCTGGGTTGATTTTGTTGTTGTAATCATAGAATTGGTAATAGCCTCTCCCCTTGCAGAGATAAGGCTGCATATATCTATCTTCCTCGAACCTACTAAGTTGTTGTCTCGGCCGCCCTTTATTCTCTTTGTTTGTTAGTTGTTGAATGCTTGAATCTTAAAAAAAAAATTAACTGTTGCTTATAAACCAATCTTAGATTGTAATTGTGTGTTCACTTTTGTTTATCTATATTCTTAATGCTGTCTGTCTCTCATTTTAGATTGCAATTTTTATGTTGCTTGTCTCAGGATGGTTTAACTCCACTTGATCTTTGCCTTTACCTTGGTCAAGGTCTTAGAACATATGAGCTAATCAAATTGTTGAAGCAACAGCCTCAAAGTTGAAGTCGAATTTTACCACAAACAGTGAGAAGTGACAACACAAATTTTGAAAGTGTTGAGCAAACAAATCAAGAATAGCCATTGCCAAGTTTTATATGATACTTAGCAACACTTCAGCATATGAAAGTTTTAGAACATATATGGTTTTGTAATATGTTCAAATTTATATTTAAAATGAAAATGTAATATTTGTACGCTGTCAGTGTAAAAATTTATACATAATTAGTACATCATCTCCCATTTATTTGTATTACATTTTTTTGAAGAGTCAATGATATTGAAAATGAATGGTGAATGATGGACTGACAATCTATAAAACTCTTATATTGTGGGTGTATACATTTTTACTAGAAAATCTACTAAATGAACCAGAGACCTACTTAGCCAATAACATTGCGTCTGTTCTTTGAACTGTAGGTTACTGTGAAACAGTGTATAGTATGACATATTCTTGGTGTAAAAAATTTGTATTTATATTATAATTTAGTAATTAGTATATCTAGTTATGAGTTGATCCATATCATAGTTGGATGAATGCTTGTTGTTTTTGTAATTGTGAGGGTGGTGTATTATAAAGAAGCAAAATGGTGCCAATGCCACAGCATCCAAACTCTTATTAATTAAGAAGCGTTTTCTGTTTCTTTCTTAAATAATCCAATCTTTTTTTTGTAATGCATGATTTCTAACACTGCTGGATAATATAATAATTACATTAGCCTATACCCTCATCATTCTTATTCTGAAAAGTTAAGGTAGAAAGAAAATGTGCTTTTAGATAAATGACAATGTTGGACTATATATATATAATTTATCTTACCTTAACTGTGTCAAAAACAGAACAACTCAACAAAAGTATGCTCCTCCTGCACCTTAGTTTCATGCTTTTGCTTTGGATTTGAGTTTTGCAAAATTGAGATGCCATAAACAGATAAGCACTAATGTCAATCGTTGTCCTCTCATAATTTTCACAACAAATTGAGACGTTGAGTGTCTGCAAAAAGATTCCATCCAGTAGAAAAAGGTTTGTAGCTGTTATGTGTATTAATTGTTCCCATAAATACCTCATCAACCTAACCAGAAACACGGATGAATTAATTGAACTATGGCACATTCTCATTCCTAGTTACTTATAACTAATTCAATGATGTAATTATAGCTTTAAATTTATTAAAAATATGGAGTATAATTATGAAGAAATATATTTCATATAAATCATTTAATGGTGCATTAATATTATAAGGTAACTATATATAGAGGAAAGAAATTAAGTTTGAGACAGTATAAAACAAGATTCCGAATTGTAACAGAGATATTGCTTTGACATATTGAGCAAACATGAAAAAGATTTTAAGCATGGGGAGTAGTTAATTGATTTTTGCTACACTGCAAGTCAACACAACACTCTAGCTCCCCTACATGTAAATGGGGTTAGTATCCTCTCCATTAATGGAGAGACAAGTACATTAAAAACCAATGAAAAATGCAATGTTCAATAACACATGCATCCTTTTGATTACAATACAATTATAATTTTGCCATTAAAAAACAAAGGGAAAAATGCATTTGCCGTCTCTCCATTAATGGAGAGGATCCTAATTCATGTAAATGAGTCTCACGGGTACCTTGCCTATTAATGTTGCTGTCTGTTCATTCCAGAGAGAGATTCCCTCATTTAATGTTCTGCTCTTTCTGTTTTCTCTAACACTATCAGTGTCACCATCTTACTAATACCATTTTTATTACTATTATCCTTTCTCAAATCACATTAGATGAAATTAAAGCCTAGTGTACTAGACAACATTTTTATCATTCATTCCAAAGTTTTAGTAATAAGTTAGATTTTGCAAATAGTTGGTGTTTAAGCCTTTAAGGAACTAAAAACTCAATTAGTTATTAATGCCATTGTACAAGAGAATACTATTGTAGAAGATATTCCACATTATATTTAAATTAATGATAAAGGCTCCCACATAACTGATATAAACTTGAGCCAAAAGATTGTGAGTCAAAGTAAAATTCATAAGAACTATTACTATTTCATAAATATGTAATGATTTTTTTTTTTGAGAAATTATTTCTGTACAATCCAAGGATAAGACTCGCATGAATACAGAATATCACATTTGATGTAAGCATGGTTAGATATTAAAAAAGTAAGTTTGCATTGAGTATTGCTTTATTATATTTAGGTTACTTAAATAATATATATTAAATATATCATTTATGATTGTACTTTATAGTGATCATTCCTTACATGTTCTAGTAAACCTTTTACTTTCTCACAATTTTAATATATCTGAAAATTACCACTAGGTTTATACTTCTCCCATTCCATTTTATAAGTGAATATAAGCGAATTTAACTAATATCATACATATTGAAAAAAGGCCAATTAATTGTTTTGATTTAATAAAGTAGATACAAATGTTTACGATTATTATTCCATGGAAAACATTTTGATTAAAAGTGATATTGGAAATATATGATTTGTATTTAAATTGATTTATATTGGAGAAAAAAAATATTATTAATGTTTCTCTAAGATGATGAGAAAGAATAATTATATAATGTAGGAGGAGTATATATAATTTATGTGCACAAAAAACATATATTATAGTAATAGAAGTCCTGATTCTTATCACAAGACATTTATACCCCACATGCAGGCAGAAAGAAGAAGAATCTCAGTAGGTTACTTGCATGAATGAGCCCAACAAGGGGTTAAATTTGACTTTATGATAACATGCATTTGAGGTTATGAGCAGTTTAAACTTTAAACAGATGCAACATTAAAATTTGAAGAGACCATAAGGGCAATACAGTACGTTATTATGGGTGAAAATAAAGAGAAAATGGCATGGATGAAGAACTATGGATATAAATGCACTGTCCCAGCTTTATGCTTTGGTAGTCGAGGGCTTTTAATGCAATAAACTGAAACACACCCTCTCTTCTGCTCTTAAAATCCATCCCACCCAACATTACATTCTCACACTCTTACAAACTCTTCTCATTATATTTCTTTCTCTCTTTCTTTACTTACTTCTTCTGCCTCCTTATAGTTCTAGTTTCTTCCCATTTGAAACATATATACATTTATATGATGTAGTTATTGTGATATTGGCTTGGTTCACTCAGACAAATAAAATACTACAGTTTTATTTTTACTGACTGTGGGTTATGTTATGGTTTTGATTGAGCCGTGCCAATATCTCAGTGCTATTTCATATTTCCCTAGCTAGGGGTAATACTCCTTGAGTGAAGATAATATCATATCAAATGCAAATGTAAGTTTGTTTAATTACCTTGACTTCTTCCCTAAGCTTGTATTTACCAGTGGATTTCTATGGATTTTTACTTTTTTATTTACATATTTAAGAAACATCAATATTCAGCTGCTTACAAGTTTCTTACATGTTGGACAAAAAAAATGAATATAAGTTACTTCTGGATTGAATTATAGTTGCATCATTTAACATATATATCGTGTACCGGATTCGGCAGAATATGTCAGTTTGTGAATTCCTTATAAAAGAAATATTATACTTACTAATATAAAATGTGATGATGCCATCCAAATAGAAATTGATACACTAGTGTAACTAAGATTTAAATAAGTGTTTACTTTAGAAAAAATGTAATTTGGCATGGAATTTGGAGTACAGAATAATAAGGCTTCATGTTTACGTGCTCAAAGGTGACCATATCCATATAGTTAAAAAAAGTGTTTACTTTAAAAAATTAAAATGAAGTTCTGATATGAAGAGTAATTTCATTCTCAAATCTTTCATAGAAATTATAAAGTTCCTTAAAATAATCATCAGAAGTAGTAATAGTGCACTTTTAACCCATATTTGGTTGGAGAGAAGATAAAATGAGTAGATTTATTAGTTGTTTAGTGTAGAAAAAAGAGAGAGGAAAGAAAGCATATTAGGAGAATACTTTTTTAATTATAAAAATGTTCTGATGAATATTTAATTTAAAACTCAATTTTGATTGCATATAAACTTTTAATTTAATTGTGTTATCCATATATTTTTGTATATTGTCAGCTAATCAAAACAATAAATACTTTTAATAATTATCATACAAGTATGCATTTCTAATGGTTTAGGGTTATGCAATACATATTTTTGATGTTCACAAATATTATTATCTTAGTGAATTAATATCTGTGATTGTCTAGTAGTTAACTATCATTTTAAGGAATTAAATATGAATGTAATACATATGGAATTATTTATACGTAGACAATATATTATTTAACATTTATTTGTATTATATTTATTGAAAATTTAATTATGATTAAAAATAAATATTGATGGTATAATAATAACGTATAAAACTCATATATTATAATTGTATATATTATTTTTCTCATCAAATACTGATATTGTATGGTAGTATGGTACATGAGAATCCAATGGGCCACACATCATTAAATTGGCCCCTTCTTTCTCCATTACAATGTGTGTATATATATTTTCTCAATAAATTAGTTAATAATTGTTCATGAAGACTAAGTGATGGATTTAATTTAAAAAAGAATTCAGACAGTCAGTGGATCTTATCTTTACATGATATCATGGCAACAAATAATTTTTATATTATCATTCTGATGGGGTGCTCAATATTGTCGCTTAAGGTTATTGGAATAATATCAAATGTTCTATAATTTGTTACTCTTTATGCTAAAGATCGTGATTAACCAAAGAAATATTATATTAATGAGTATGTAATAGGCTATGATATTGTTTTCCCAATTATTTTAACATGAGAAATGATACAGACTTAGATGGATAATGTTATCTGTGGCGGCAATTGTGGGACCCATGTGAGCATAACATAATGCATGCCTTCTATTTTATGTAGCTGCTATTACCTACTTGTGCTACTTGCAATATTTAAAAGATGGCTATTGGCAAAGGAACTTTAGGATAAGATGTAATCTTATTAATCACAAAAAAATGAAATTTCCAACATAGTGTGTAAGAGATTTTTATATGTGTCATTAATAATCATCCATTTTCTAAAAATACAAATGTATAGTGAATAATGTTCTATCTATATAAATATAAGTTTATACACTAATATTGTATAAATATTATGTTCTTAAAATAAATCATATTATTGTTTTTGAATGAGTCCAACTTCAAGTTTTTTTTTTTGAATTTTGGATTGGACAGTTCTACCAAAAAAAATGGTGAAAAGAATTCGTATGATATAGTTAAACAATTATATCGATCAAAATTGGTTATATCAAGTTGTTTTCAATTAAATTGTATAAGTTATAATTTTTATTCAAAATTAATTTTTTAATGAAAATAACTTAATTCTTACTGGTAGATTAGTATGAATGAATAAACTCATAATTATTATGTTTGTTATGCTTCTAAAACATGGTCTATCTATATGTTGTGTTTTAATAAATGATATAAATAAAAATAATTATCATATTCTTTATTAATTTTTCAAAACATTAGAATTAGAATAATATATATCTAATTTTATTTGTATTAGTATAATATTTAATTATTGATCCACCGTTTTGAATCATTATACCAATAATACTCTCACCCATTTAATAATCTGTAAAGAATTAATGACAGTACTAATTTGAGTGAAAGTCATCAAAATAGTTTAGTACATCAGTTAATACCTTCCATCAGATTTTACCGGAAAAACTTGCGATCTGATAAGTGTAGTTGTCTTAGTCAACCTAAACTACACGTGTACCAATTATAAAAATAAAGAAAGAAAAAGACTAGACGTGTACGTACTACCAACAATGTTGAATAATTTTCCATAAAAACAACAATTTTGTGTAATTTGTGTTTAGAGTATGCTAAAAAAAAAAAAAAAAAAACTGGTTGGTCTGGGTGAAGGACCAAATTTTTGTTCTTCAAATGTTACGTGTTTAAATAATAGAGAATAAACATTTGGGGTCCCTGCCATTCGAGCACCTCCGTGTTTTTTAGTTGAATGCTTACACATCAAACACTTGTGTAATGTGTGAAATTATCATATTCATATATATTGACAAATTTTGCAATCTACTACATCCACTTTATTTTGTAGCTTCATAGTTGAGATAGTTAAAAACTACTACGAGTTATGGTTTACTCAGGGCAATTGTGTAACTTGATCAGGAATGCGTCTTAAATGTTAAACATCTTTGCTCTTAAATTTTGGAGAGTCGCAAAAGCATCATAGAAAAAGACAATAGATTACAAAGAATGTACCAATCGGTGAGAGAGAAGGTTGTGTGGTTCTTAATTGGTAGGTCCAAGGAGCAAGGTTTTATTACAAAAGGAGAAACTCATATTCCCGTATAAACTATAAACCCATTGCAGGCCCCAATACAGTAATTATAACCACTATTCAACTTATCTGCTTAAATTTTCATTTTTTTATTTGATTAATTCCATCGCAGAAAAGCATCTCCATCGACCAAAGAAATATTTAAATTAATTAGCGATAAAACAGGTGTGCTTAATTAATTATAATATCATACTTTATCCGATTGATTTCAATTTGCCCCACTATGGGTGGAGAGTGGGTCCCACGCTGACGTGGATAGCTGGGATTGCAAATATACTGCACCGAAGCGAAACAGTTCCTAGTACCTGGAAAAGAAAGAAAACACTTCAAACAATTCTCCGTAAACTGAATCAACCCCTTTCCCCTCTCTCTCTCAAAGTTGTTCAAATTGAATCTCTCTTATTCTGCGTGGAACTGTTTCTCTGTTTGTCTGACACGGTGGTTATGGTGATCGAGGAAGACATTGAGAGTTGCGGAAGCAGAGCGGTGGAATCGTCGCAATATGCTCATGCTCGACATCAGCGTCAGAAATTGGAGGTGTACAATGAGGTGCTCACTCGAATTCAAGATTCAGATTGCGATGAAGCTCATGTCCCGGGCTTCGACGATCAGCTTTGGCTTCACTTCAACCGATTACCTGCTAGGTGCTGCTTCCGACATAACCTTCTCTTTTTAATTTTATTATTTCCTCCTCATTTTCATCTATAATTTGATTTTGTTTTTTATCTCAGAAAAACCGTGGAAAAAGTGGTGAATACAATTCACATGGAATTCTGTATATTCCTGCTAGTGATTTTTTGATTCCTTTTTCATAGAATTCAAGTTGTTTTATTGTAATTTTCAACTCGGTTATTATAATTTATTTAAAAAGGAAAAAACGATAGATGGCTGAGTGTTTTTTTTTTTTACTTTACCTTTGTAAGTGTACGAGTCGTCACTGTCATTGCTACTACATAGGTACGCATTGGATGTGAATGTGGAAAGGGCAGAAGATGTTCTTGCTCATAAGAGATTGCTCAAGTTGGCAGAGGACCCTGCAAATCGACCTGCATTTCAAGTTCGCTTAGTACAGGTAATAAGGCACTCATAATTTGTTTCAATTACTATGAAAACATGTTGAAATTTGAGTTAATGTCAAGTGTCAACCATGTAATAGAGTTGACAGAGGTTAGTGTTGATCTCAATTTTGATATTTGAATTATATTCATTTGATCTTCCGATTATGATTTGTTGACTTATATACATTTATGAGGATAACTAAGTTAGCTTGGTAGGTTCTCTAATCACTGGGCATCTAACAGTTGACTAATCTTTCTTATAGTTGAATAACATGATGTAACCAAGTATTAACTAATCTATCTAACTCGGCCAACTCAGCATGCAGTGCTAAGCAGGACATATTGTAACACATCATATGCTCTTGTTACTACAAGGTTGTAGTTAGCATTTTAATGTGTTTTATTTAAACCTAAATGTTTTCCCAGCATGCTAAGAAATCAGTACTCTAAAGGTTGTAGAGGATGGATGGAACTGGTCTTTTCCTATCCTTGACTGCATCGTTGTGCCGTAGACATCATTGATAACTGCTACCTGTTGTTGGCGTAAATTTGGAATACTGGAATCAACATCTAAATAAATGCCTAAAATATGTCTAGAGAAATGCTGCATACAACATCATGTCAGTATCATCCTTAATGCAGGTATATCCTTTTGGTAGTGCAACTGATTCTATGCATTCAGATCCTTCTGAGAAAGAAGATGCACAAAGTTCTCTTAACTATTCTTTTAAGCAAGGGTATGCCCTATGCATTGTTGTATTACTTTTATTTTCCATCCTTCCCATTGCTCAATAAGCACAATTGCTTTTTATTACCCAAGCTATTGTTCATATTATTATTCTGTTA